CCCGGCTCCTATTTCTAGACTTTCAGGCTGATTTAATCTATTTATTTATTTATTTTTAGGTATAGCAAAGGGGGAGTTCATTAACAAAGCAGGGAGTTTATTAAAGGAAAGGGAAGGAGAAACAGATATCATGTGTATTTAAAACCAACGGTTACAATTTAAATGCTTGTTTACTTTTTTAAGCAAAAACTTCACTCACTTCATTCAAAAAACATTGACAAAATAACTTTCGGTCGCAATGCTATGATTTCATGAAGATTGTAAGCATTTTGCACACTAGTCAGAACTTTCTTTTTGATGAAGTCCTCTTTTAATGACAGATCAATTAACAAATACATACACAAAAACAATTTAAAATAAATGCCTGCTTATGACCAAATCTTTCCATAGTTCTTTCCTCTTCTTCCAATTCTCCCATTTCAATACTTGATCACACTCCTTTTGGACTCTGTTTTCCTTTTTCCCATCCTGCAGGCCATGTTTTCTTTTTAATCTATTGCCCGGCTCCTATTTCTAGACTTTCAGGCTGATTTAATCTATTTATTTATTTATTTTTAGGTATAGCAAAGGGGGAGTTCATTAACAAAGCAGGGAGTTTATTAAAGGAAAGGGAAGGAGAAACAGCTCCCAAGAAGGGAGGGGTCCTAGAAAATGGATTGCCCCTATTTGATCTATTATAATCCATAATACCAAGTTAAACTGGGCTCCCAGAGCTCAAAGTCTTTTTACTCTTCCATTGTTGATTTGTCGTCATTGTCCTCACTAAGTTACTACCATCCCTATTATGGTATGTCCTAAGCCTTCTCTCTTACTTCAGAGTCCTACCCTGACTTTCTCACCCTAACAGATGCTGCTTTGGCCAAGAAAATTGACGCAGGTTGTCAGCTATTTCCAACTTCTTATCACTATGTCTAAGGTTTTTGTGTTTTGGTTTTTTCCTTCTTTTTTCCTTCCTTCCTCCCTTCTTTCCTTCCTTCCTTCCTTCCTTTCTTTCTTCTTTCTTTTCTTTTCTTTTCTTTTCTTTTCTTTTCTTTTCTTTTCTTTTCTTTTCTTTTCTTTTCTTTTCTTTTCTTTTCTTTTCTTTTCTTTTCTTTTCTTTTCTTTTCTTTTCTTTTCTTTTCTTTTCTTTTCTTTTCTTTTCTTTTCTTTTCTTTTCTTTCTCTTCTCTCTCTCTCTTTCTCTTTTTCTTTCTTGTATCTTCCCCTCAGCCCTTTGATATGACTGTCTCTAAGACTAACCCTCTGAGAATATTTTGATACATAGATAAAATAGTTATTAAGCCATTTTTAAAATATGAGTTTAGGAAGATTTATTGCTGAATGGAACAAGACAGGCTATGAAAGAAAGATTTTGTATGTCTCTGTTTAATATATACCAACCGTCTACACTCTATGGTAGAAACTAAAAGTTTGGAGGGCATAAAGCAGTGAAAATAGTTATGGATGCACGACAGTGTGGAAGTAGAGTTGGAGAAGGGAAGAGTATAGGGAAGGAAATCAGGGAGAAAAAAAAGAGAGGCAAGACATTTGTGGGACACAGAAATGGTTTATTACTTGTTGATGATAACTTGTATAGTATTCTCAACAGGACTGGTCTGAGATGTTTTTTATGTTGGGTAAATTCCCTTTACAAGCCAAGTGATGTATAGCGATCAAATATTTTTTAAAAAAATAAGGGTAAGAAAAATAAAACAATTTAAAAAATGAGCTTAGGGTGTGTGTGTTTTGTTTTGTGAATATCAACAGTGAGAGGTGAACATCCTTAGATAAATAATTACTCATTTGTGAGAGGATATGCAGCTTTGCATGGTTCTCCAACTTGCGTGATCTCAGTTACCATAGTTTTATTAAACAACACCCACTGTCCAACAACATGGTCTAACTTCAGATCCCAGAGGGAACTGACTGATAAAGAATGAAAGTGCAATAAAGAAAAGCAATAGTACTGGAAGTGAAGTCCAAATCCAACGTAAATGTAATTATGGAAGAAATAGCTAACTGTGAGAAGGTGGACACTGTTATGATTCAGTAAACTGTACACGTGAAGTTGGAGGAATTTAGTAAAGGCAGATGTATTGATGTAAATGAGGACAGTGGTTGTGACAAAAAGAGGGAAGAGATCCCACAGGAAGTGACACTAGCATATTGAAGGAACTCTTGGAGAGATTTCATGATATTGAAAGTAGAAAGGTTAAAACATTGGGAGCTGATCTAAACTTAGAAAATGACAATTCTTAAAGGCATAAAAAAAGAATCTCATTGCGTGTTGTAAGTGAAATGATGGGTAAGAAGAAGTTGCTGTTCAAACTATTCCAGATAAGTTTTACAGAGAAATACAATCTTAATTTGACATGTTTTAAATTGTGTACTGAATAAATGCAGATTAGTTTTACTGTTTTTTATTTCCTTTATATTTATCATTGGCAGTAAATGAGTTTTTACTGTTTTTGATAGATAGTTAAACATTACCTATCCATATGGTTCTGTCAGTTTACATTACCATCAAAGACTTAGGAGGATCCTAAGTTCTTCCATTTGCCCTTTTTAACATGCTTGCTGAAACTCTTCCTTTGATAACCTTGTTTTAGTGGATACACACATGTAGACTTAGGTTTTTAACTAAGTTAAAAACAAAAAAAAGCTTAATCTAGACTCTCCTATATTTTAGACCCGCTAAACTCTTGCTTTCATTTACTTAATTCCATTTTCTTTTCTAGACCTTCTGCTTCCTTTACTCACCCTTCACTCTTAGTAGGTGAAGTCATTTGACAGTAAGCACCTTGAGAGCAGAGGTCATGTGTGCTTTATTATTGAATATCCATATTATTTATTTGAAGGAATGAGTTCATAAAAGCCTCCACCCACCATCCATCCTGCCCATTCACCCAGTTCTCCTGTCTAGATTCTTTCTTCACCTTGGCTTTCCAGACCTACCACACTATCTTTTTTACACCTTCCCGGAGCTTCCATTACTCTTTGTATTTTGTTATTGTTTTAGCTCAATTAGGCAACTCTTCATCTATCTGCCACCCTCTGTGTGCCTTCTATTCGTAGAGCCTTTCTTTTTTTTTTTTTTTGAGAGATTTTCACTGTAGGGCGCGTGCGCTCGCCAGACAGACAGAGAGAGACACAGAGACAGAAAGCAAGAAATCACCCCCCAGGGGGGATGGTCACGCCGCAATCCCTTCTCCTCCATTCTCCTCTCAGGATCTTGGGCACGCACGCACACGCGCCCGGCGTGAGTTTTAAGCCACCGGGTCTGGGACACGAACCACGGTCGACTACGTGGGAGTCCAGCAACATAGCCATTACGCTAACTGCTGGTTCCCCGTAGAGCCTTTCTTTATGCTGAGCTACCTCATGGAAGTTTGCTCTGCTCTGTCCTCTCTTCCTTCCCTCAACTCCTGCCTGCCTGTATCAGACCATTTCCCCCAGACTAAACCGTGCCAAAGGCTTTCTCTGGTGATGTTCTTTCTGATCCCCCTCTCCCAACCACCCTAGCCTTATAACATCTGTAAACAGTTATAGAATGTTGTAACCAGTTAATAGAACCAATAAAAAATGGGCCATTTATCCTGCTGTTTTTAGCTTTTTCCACACAAATAGAAGCTTCCTGAGGTTTCTTATGCCTTCAGTGTATAACTTAGTTGTTTGGCACTTAAAGAATATTTCAATGAATATTTTGTTGTTTTGCCTACAAACTGACATTCAGTAAACTCTCAAGGAAATCTCATCCCCCTTAAAAAAAAATCTAGCTCATAAAAATCGTTACAATTGGGACCAGCAGTTAGCATAATGGTTATGTTGCTGGACTCCCACGTAGTTGACCATGGTTCGTGTCCCGGACCCGGTGGCTTAAAACTCATGCCAAGTGTGTGTGTGTGCGTGCCCAAGATCCTGAGAGGAGAATGGAGGAGAAGGGATTGCGGTGTGGCCATTCCCCCTGGGGGGTGATTTCTCCCTTTCTGTCTCTCTGTCTCTCTCTGTCTGTCTGGTGAGCACACACGCCCTACAGCAAAAACCTATAAAAAAATTGTTACAGTTATTAGAAAGTTATATATGGTATATCCACTTATTCGAAAATGTCAAAAATTAGAAGAAGAGTGGGGAATGAGAAAGAGGCAAAACAGCCCTGGAAAGACTTTTTTTTTAATTGCTAGATAGTGCATGTGTTCAGCAGAGAGACAGAAAGACAGGGAGGAGGAAACCCCTCACGCCCCCCGCCCCCAGTGGTGCTTGATCATGCCACAATCCTTTCTCCTCTTTTTCTCCACCCTATTGGGGATTGGGGTGCACACGGATTTATGTTTTGCATGTTTTTCAAGCTGCAAAGGCTGATATTACAACCATGGTTGGGCATTTGGAATCCAGCTCTCTGAACTACTAGGCCATGGGCTGGCTCTAGAAAAATGTTTAAAGATCCGCGTAGGCCAACTGTTTGATTTTATAAGTGAATAACCTGATGTCTGAAAAGTTTAAGCAACACCTGCTCCAAATCACATGACCAGTTTATGGTAAGATTTGAACCTTAGGATATAGTCACTACCCCATCAGTGCTTGTTCCCATATAAGCTGTCACAGTGTAAATGAAGATATTCTCTAGTGTTTAGGTTTGTGCAGTTTACGTGTAAATGAACATGGAATATTCTCATATATCCTTCAGTGGATTAACAATTGAAAAGCTATGTCTTTGAATAGATTTCTCTAAAACTTAATGATAAAAATGTTCTGACTAATTCATTTATACTAACTGGGGAGTTTCTGATTACATTAACTATGGATGGTCTAGAACTGTTAGTTGACATTTAAGTAAACTTTTTATTGAAATGCAGCATATTTTCAGCAAAGTCTATGAATCGTTAGTATACAGTTTGAATTTCCAAAAAGCGAGCACATCCATGTGACCAGTACTGAGGAGAAAAAGCAGTCCCAGCAAGTGGAAAAACATTTGAAGAAATAAACAATTTGGAACTATATAGTTTTCTTTTTTTCCCACCACAGGTATTATCGGTATGTGTGTTAACAACAATCCTTGGCTGTATATTTGGGTTGAAACCAAGCTGTGCCAAAGAAGGTAATTTGTTTTCTCTTTGTCAGTCTCTGTCTCTCTGTTTCTGTGTCTGTCCACCCTTATTCAGAATGTGACTGAGATGAGTATTTTCTCCTCATGCTATAAGTACCCCATAGATAACAGCAAATTAGATGCCAGTTTGAGCCTTATTCTTACCCAAACAAAAAAGACAGGCTTATTTTTACCCAAACATACGAAAACAAATGAGCAGAAAACCCCAAATAACAAGAATATCTATTAAGAACAAAGAAACTAGCAGATATGGCCAGCAGGTTCTGGCGCAGTGTCCTGATTTCCTCCAGGACACTCTTCCCCCCTAAGGAATCAGTTGCCAAAGCAGCCCTGGAGGTTACCAGGTGACCAGTTTGCCTCCCTGGGTAACCAGAAACCTACCAGTATGTGCTTTTAAGGTTTTTAAAATGGGGGACATTGGTGGCTTTGAAGCCAATTGTGCTATTTTTTTTTCTTTCTTTTTTTCTTTGGAGAGGTTTTTTTCTTGCTATAGGACGCGTGCGCTTGCCAGAAAGACAGAGAGAGACAGAAAGTAACAAATCACCCCTCCAGGGGGGATGGCCATGCCACAATCCCTTCTCCATTCTCCTCTTGGGATCTTGGGCATGCACGCACATGCACCTGACGTTAGTTTAAGCCACCAGGTCCAGGACTTGAACCGTGGTCGACCACATGAGAGTCCAGTGACATAGCCATTATGCCAACTGCTTGTCTCTCTTTTTGTTTTTTATTTTTTTTAAATAATTATTTTATTTAATTTTATCTATTTTTAATTTGACCAGAGAGGAACAGAGCAAGAGAGAGAGACAGAGGGAGAGAAAGTAGGAAAGTAAGAAAACAAGCTGCCAGGTCCAAGACTCAAACCACGGTCGGCCATGCCAGACTCCAGGACTCTTAACCACCACACCGCCTGCTGGCTCCTCAATTGTAATATTTTCAAGCTTCAAAATACATGTTTTTCTTCATATCAGTTGCAGAAATCTATCCCCATTAATAAGGTGACTATAAATAATTAGACTGAATCATAGTAAATTATAGTGACTGGTAGTCTTTCTAAGGAATTCAGTTTTGAAGAGAGAACAAATTCTTTCCTGTTTAACTATATTGTCATTGTAATATTAATCATTTATTTTTTTAGTGATTGTTTTGGAAAATGTACCTAAATTTAACATAAGTAAGAAGTTACAAAATGTGTTGTTCAATTAGGCAGTCTTTTGGCATGAGTTAATTCACCCTAAGTTCAGTTTGACACATAAAAATAAAAACGAAAGATGGGAAGTGTCCATTTTAATCCTAGGCTAATGAATTTTTTTGAAATTACTGCTCAAATAGTAGTTATTATTCTAAGAAACACCCACCCCATACACGCATACCCCTTGGCCAGGGAAGTTAGCATTTATGACCTTAGAAATTATTTTTACTTCATGTTCTTAAAATTGTCTAATTTGCCAGTGTCAGATGAGAGTTAAATTCTGTGGCAATGTCTTGTAGGGTCAGGAGACAAAGTCAAGAAGTGAGATTATTCCCTTCTTTTGCTGGATGTCTATTATTTTACATTTTCCCCCCTTTTTCTAGCCTTTTTTTTTTAAGAGAAAAGTTTTTTGTTTTTGTTTTTGTTTTTGGTATAGGTTCACCAGAGACAGAGAGAGACAGAGAGGAGGTGAAAAATCGGCAAGCATGTACATGCTTCTGGCATGAGTTTCAAGCCACTATGTCTAAGACTATAATCATAGTTGGCCATGTGAGAGTTCAACACCTTAATCACTACTCCATCTGCTGGCCCTCCTCACCATCTTAATTTTCTAGTAATCCAGTAAAATTTAGCTTACCTTGAATAAGCAAGTACTAGTGTCCCTAGTATCCATGCTAGGTATTAGTGGCATAGAATGATGGGTGAAATTCAGGTGTGGTCTTTGTTCTTTAGAAGATTTTTTTTTTTCCTAGGGCCAGCAGGTGGCATGGTGGTTAGGGTGTTGGAGTCCTACATGGCCGACTATGGTTCGAGTCCTAGATGTGGCAGCTTGCTTTCTCACTTTCCCTGTCTTTCTGGCCAAATTAAAATGATGATGATGATGATGATGATGATGATAATGATAATGTATAAAATTAAATAAATAATTCTTTTTAAAAAATAAGTGTTTTTTCCCTATAAACTAATCACAAGTAGAGTTCTGTGACTAAGGGGAAAAGGCAAGGTTTTATAAGAGCTTAAATATGGAAACTATACCTTAAGCCAGGGAATTCAGGAAAGTTGGAGGCAGCATCTGAAAGTAAAATGGGTATGTGACATCAGAGAGTAAGGGCCAGTGCCGGGGGACATGTTCTGCATGAACAGTACTTCTGTACGCCAAGACTGAGACTGCCATAGGTAGGTATTCTTTTCCTCTCTGAAATGTTCCTAGTCACTTTTAAAAACAATTCTTTCTCCATATATTGAATTTTTGGGGAACCTAATGGCTGTTTAAACCAACTTTTTTTTTTATCTTTTAGCACATAAAATATTCAGAATAAATACTCTCTCTTTTTTTTTTTTTTTCCCCAAGGTTTTGCTATAGGCCACATGTGATAGCCAGAGAGAGATGGGGAGAGACAGAGAGGGAAAATAAGAAATCACCCCTACAGGGGATGGCCATGCTGCAATTCCTTCTCCATTCTCCTCTCAGGATTTTAGGCATGCACACTCTTTTCTTCACCATATTATAGGTATTTAAGTTTTATCAGAACCAGTAAGGTTGTAACAAACGAAGTTTCTTTTTCTCTATGGCAAGAGGGAAAGTCATGAACTCCTATGTGAGGTTATGTTCTGCTGATGTCGCTCTCTGTGTGTATTTGTGAAAAAGTTCTTGGGTCACTTTATTACTCCTTCATGATTTCTAAAGCAGTGCTGGAACTTACCCTGCGCCCGACAGCTGTACTAGTTGACGTTTGCTTTGTAATTGTACACTGATCGGAGACATCTAACCCTTGTTCAACATTTCAGTTAAAAGTTGCAAAGGTCGCTGTTTTGAGAGAACATTTGGAAACTGTCGCTGTGACGCTGCCTGTGTTGACCTTGGAAACTGCTGTCTCGATTACCAGGAGACTTGCATCGAACCAGGTATGTGTGTGCAGAAGAAAACAAGGAGATACGGGCATGAGAGAAAAATCAAGGAACGTTCTTCATTTGGGGGGTATCTAATTTACCTACCTCATCAGGCCTTTTTTTTTTTCCCTTAAAGTATATATATATTTTTTTTTTTTGAGAGTTTTTTTTTTTTTTTTTCTATAGGGCACGTGCGCTCGCCAGACTGACAGAGAGAGACAGAGAGACAGAAAGCGAGAAATCACTTCCCAGGGGGGGATGGCCCTGCCTAAATCCCTTCTCCTCCATTCTCCTCTCGGGATCTTGGGCATGCACGCACATGTGCTCGGTGTGTTTTAAGCCACTGGGGGGGTGGGGGGGGACACGAACTGTAGTCAACTACGTGGGAGTCCAGCGACATAGCCATTACGCTAACTGCTGGTCCCTTATGGTATATTTATTTCATCCAAGAGAAAGAGAAAGATCAGTACCTTCATTAGGATCTGACACCACAGTCCACCTCTAGCCTTCCTAGCTGGCCAGTTCATGGGCATGCACCTGGCATGTACAGGTCAACTGCAGAACCAAACCTGCAGTCCTATCTATGGATTCTGCTTCATTGAGCAGCGCGTTGCTGCAGAGGCACTGAGCTGTCTCTGGGCATTGATTTATTTCTTTATTTTAAATTTAGGTTGTACATTAGTGCTTAGACATAGTCTTCATATTTCAATAGTTCTTTAGAAAAAAAAAAGTCACATAATTTGCCTTCGTTAAACATTTAATGTAAAACAAAATGCTACCTATTTTTAATATATGCTGAAAAATATTTGTGGTTTAATTTGCATGTAAATAAGTCCTAAAATTCTGCTTGAATATATGTAAATATTTTCATTCTGGGACACTTAGAGTAAGAGTCTTTAGATGTCCAACTGCATGTTAAAATAAATCCATTAGCAGGCCAGTGGTAATGCAGAGGGTGGTACAGTGGTAACGTGACATTCTGTGATGCTGGACACACGGGAGGTCCTGGGCTCCTGTCCACAAACTCCCCCCTACACGCTGGGCATGCACGTGTGTGTTTGTGCCCATGATCCAGGCTGGCTAAGGCTGGGGGGAAATTTCAGTGTGAGGAACTTGTTCATGTGCACTTACTTTTCTCTCTTCCTTTCTCTCTCTTTCTTCTCTCCCTCAAGGAGGAAGTAAAATAAAACAAACTTTAAAAATAAATAAAAAAATAAAATTAGAACATAAAATTTTTATGTTTGATTTGGACTTTTCTGCATGCCATGAAATAATATTCCAATAGAAATATGGGACGCTCCATATGGGACGCCTAGTGGTTAAGGAAGCCAGATCCCACATGACCAACTGCAATGAGAGTCCTTCCCCTTGGAAACGTGTTGGGTATATGTATGAGTGCCCAGATCCTGACAGGATGAAGAAAGAGAGAGGTGATTATGGCATGACCATGCTCCACTAGGGATCCTTTCTACCTCTCACTCTTTCTTTGTCTCTGCCTGGTGAATGCACACACCCTCGGACAATAAAAGAAATCAGAAAAGAAAAATAAAAGTGAGTGTGAGTCAGACTGAGATTAAATCTCGAGAACCCTGAAAATGGCTGGTGGAATAAGCCAGGCCAATTCATTATACGTGCATTGTATTATGTAATAATAATTACACATGTCTAAGTTTGAAAATTATAGAGTTCTGGGTTTTTAGTGAAATAGTAACAGTTGGTGTCTACATGCTTTATGTCAGTGTGACTGTGGTATTGACAGATTTTGTGACTAAGAGTTATGAAATAGTCCATGTTCTCCCACGGGTCCTACACAAGACAGCAATTTGGTGCTCACTTTGGGTGTGTTGAATTTGAACCTCAAGTGCTTTCTGTTGTTTGTTTCTAGAACATATATGGACTTGCAACAAGTTCAGGTGTGGCGAGAAAAGGTTGCTCAGGAGCCTCTGTGCCTGCTCAGATGACTGCAAGGACACTGGTGACTGCTGCGTCAACTACAGCAATGTGTGTCAAGGTCAGGCTTCTAGGCAGTTCTCAAGTCCTATGGCAGCTTGACATCTTCCAGGGTCTTAGTTGGTTTTTACATAGGTGTTACCTTTTATATTAGCAGTCATATTTATTGACCAGTTACATGAGGATACTTTAGAAACTTGGCCAAAAAATTGAATACAAACAAAGGTATGAGTTTATTTTGGTGCAAAAACATTTTAGAATCCATGCCTAGTTATTTCATAGCACACATGTTTAAAGACCCCTAACGTTAGAAGTAAAAAAAAACCTTTTAAAACATTTTATTAGAAAATTCAAACTTACACATGAGTAGAGAATATGTAATACCATGAACTTTGTAGCTGTCATTAGTTTAATATTAATCATTTACACACAGCCAGTCTTGTTTTGTCTACAACCATCCACTCTCGTACCACTTCATGTTATTACTACCCCTTCACATTATTTTGATAATTGCTAAATACTTAATGCCATATTTGTGGAAAGGACACTTTTTCATTCCTGGCTGACTTTATTTTTTTTTTTAAATAATTACTTCATTTAACTTTATTTATTTTAATTTGACCAGAGAGGGACAG